AAACTTTGAACGCCTCTAACATCACTCTTATTTTTTTTTCTTGTAGAACAATCCATAGTCAAATATGGATATATACAATAAATGTAGAAGAAATCAAACAGGCGGCTTGGGACCATGTCCATGGTCGCTCATTGGACCTCCAAAAAGAAAGAACCAGTCAACCTATCTATCTATGCCGTGTTCAATAAATAAATAAATAAATAAATTTCAAAATTACAACCAAGTACATGGTGCTAAAAGTTACATCTTTGGGCTCCAATTGTAGATTTTCCTTAAGGCCCATAACAAAAATTCATATAGTCCAAAAACTGAGATAAGCTATGCCCATTGCCTAGAGTACTGTCTCTGGCCTATGCCCTATCCGGCCCAATAGATGTTAGCCCAAATATATAGTTCACTTTACATGCCTCATAAAATGGACAAAAAAAAGAAAAGAAGAGACAGATACAAACTAAATTATCAATTATTTTACCAATTACTCATATGTATATGAGAACCAAATATAAATTGGAAAATGCTAACTATTGCTGAACGGGTGGTGGTTAAAAATCTATGAAAATATGTAAGATGTATGTTAAAATTTTAACACATTTTGCTTTGTTTTATTCTTAATCGACACCCAATAAACGATCGTTAACCATAATTTTTCTTTGACCTTCTCATTTTCCTTGCTATTTTTTTCTTATCTTAAACAAAATCTTACTCCTCTCATTTTCAATTGTCATTTTTCTTGAAAAAAAATTGTTTGAAAATGAGGCTATATGGAATTGAATGCATTGAATTAGCCTTTAAGATGTCTCCATAAATTTCTCAACATCACATGTATTGATAACAATTGTCGGCATGAATGATAATGACATATAATTTGGTTTTCATAGTGATTTTAGTTGGTGTGAACCCACTTTAATCTTAGGACAATATCCTCATATTTATTACAAAATTTGCAACATCAATCTCCACATGTACCTTTCCATCACTCAACGTAGAGATACATAATGTCATAGGTAGAGATTGTGATGACCCAAACCTACATCAAGATTACACGGATTCGCATAGGTAGAGTTAGCTGAACCAAGTATAGGCATAGCTTGGTAACTAGAAGGCGATGAGAGATGTTGGGCACAAATATCAAGATCGATATTCAAATGATAATCATTCTTGATTCATATGACTCTTATAACTAACATGATAATAAGAATATTTTTGATTGGAGACGAAATTATTTAAGAGTGATATTTTTCAGGTAATAAAAAAGACATTTATAATTCTAAATTTTTCATTTTTTAATGTGATTTTTCAAGTCTAAGGCTAATTTGATTATCTAAAAAATTTTGACCAACACCAAACTAGTGACACTCGAAATTCATTGGCTCTTTGTGTTATAAAGGCATTAGGAGGCAAACATTGTTAAAAAAATCAACTTAATGTTTCTTTACTTAGGAGGCAACTACCATTTTGTCTACCTAAAAATCAAAAATAAAAAAGAAACCTAACTGGGATTTATACAATTAATAAAATATTAATTATTCCCGATTGACAAGACATAGCATGTGCATTTCAATTTTTTAATCCCTAAATTAGTTAAAAAGCAAAGTTGAAGCTGCAATGAAATGAAAGTCAGCTACATGCATGAAGGGCCATGCAATGCAACCAATGATTTGAGTGTGACAGTGCACTCTCACCCTTAGATCTTTACCAAGATTGTTGATTCCATGGGTCCCTCATGATCCTCAGATCCTATTGGTGGGTTTATTATAAGATTTCAATTAAATTGTGGGACCTAATGGGTGCTTTGATCTAATAGCAAATGAGCTGTATTGGTGCTTTGGTTTTCAAATCAATAATTTACCAAACATATGCTAAACACCTTATCTTTTTAATTATTTTAAAAAACAAGCAAATAAATAAAGAAGAATCTAGTCATTTCAATAATATTGTAGGACCATCTAATGAGAGCCAAATTTATAACATTTCAGTTTTGTTCTCCTTAATAGAGTTTGTAATTTAAATCCAAAATTGTCAAAATTGTTTTTACCCATATCACTAAAGCTAGGATTAATTTGTTCTTGGTATAGTGTCATGTACCTTATTAAAAGTTGTTAGGTTTTATTTCTTAGCAATCCCGTTTGACAAAACTCCTTTGAGTTGTAATTTTATTCGCATTTTTATTTCAGTGAGGCTATGAGTTGTTAGATACGAATCCAACCCGAATCAAGCCTTTCAGAGAAGTTTGTGATGATAAAGTTTTCAAGATTGCCACTTCGCTGATTATGACGGGATCGAGCTGCCCGGTCAGCTCCCGGGGGTCGAGGGTCGAGGGGGCAGCGCCCCTTGGCGGGTTCGGGGCAGCGCCACGGCGGGGTCGAGGGGCAACGCCCCCGAAGCAAAATGCAAAAATACATTCCAAGTTGCCTGTCCGCTCGAGCGGACATTCCTCCGCTCGAGCGGAGAATCCCTGGTTCCAGAAGTTTTGGTCGCCTGTAAAAGTACTGAGTTGTGTGATTTCGCACTCGAGCGGGTTCTCTAGCGCTCGAGCAGACCTCTGTTATATTTCGCGCATATTTTGCTGAAGCCGCTCGAGCGGGCTGTTTGGCGCTCGAGCGGAGATCGCGGAACAGATTCTATAAATTCGCGTGTTGGGTCAGATTTTAGAATTACTACTCCAGATCTTCTTTTTGGGTTCTAGGGTTTATATCTGGGGATACTTTGTGAGTTTTCTTTGATATTTTGATTGAGTATTCAACTCATGTTTTAAAGAGTATACATCAAAGGTTTTGTTTGTTCTACAAAAGAGAAAGTTGTTCTTCGGTGGATTCTGAAGAATTTGAGCCTGAAGTTTTGGTGGATTCCGGGGTGACTCATCGTAAAGACAATTCCGAGGTGAAGATGGGTTGAAAGAGGCACATAGAGGTTGGTTCAATTAGGCGTGGATTCGCTAGGTAATTGAGAGATACCTGTGTAATTCCTTTAAATCTTCTTACTGGATTGTTTTGTGACTGTTGCCCGTGGTTTTTTAATCACAGTTGGAGGTGTCCAATTGTGATTTTTTTCACGTTAAAATCGTTGTGTTGATTTGTCTTGATTGTTTGATTGGGATTGTTATATACTGCTTAAAATTGTTACTTAATCACAAATCAATATCTAGGGGATTTCTAGATTTTTCAAAAGTATATCATGAAACTTGTTGTACTCAATAATTTTTTGATAATGAACACTATTTTGTCATATGAGGCAACATGAGATTATATGATTAAACATAAAATTATATGATTAATAACTCATCTATTCAGGGATAAACTTTTAACAATAATATTATATATTGAAAAAAATGATTTAAAAAAATTTATTTATGGACTATGACATTATATCAATTTTGAATCTAAATCATACATTTCACTTTGAGAATAATTTTTAGAGTTAAAATTTTGAACAGATAGCATTTTCCAATTGTTAAAGGTAACATTATACCTAAGTTTTTGCCTAATTAAATACTTCAAACTTTATGAACACACCATTATTAGGTGTTTAATTGATGTGGTTGTGACCTCTGAATTATTTAAAAAGGTGAAGAAGTGACCTCATGATCAACAATAAAGGAGCCCCAAAAGATCTTAGGAAATGCCCTTTTGTCTTCTTTCATTTCTTTTAACAAAGGATATAAATTTCATTCAAATAAAGTAGGATCAAATTTATTTATAATTTTCGAATGTGGACTTTATAAATTATAGCAATTATCGAAGTCTGAATTTATAGTATTTATTCAATTTTGGATAGTGAATGACGTTTCAAGGACATTTAGGTAACATACACGGAAAAAAAAACCCAAAACATTAATTTTTATTTTATTTGTGTGAAAGAAAATGATTCATTTGAAATTCAAATGATAGCAAAAGAATTTAGGAGTTTTTTTTTTAAAGATCTCTAATATTAAAATTTTATAAGATAAATGACATATAATATTTTCATAGTAGTTGGAGTCCCTCAACATTCTCACAAAGAAAATTCAACTCAGAGAATTTTGTGTTCGACTTAGAGAAAATTTGGCTCGGCTTAAAGAAATTTCTACCTCGACAGAGAGAAATTTCAATTTTCACAGAGAAACTTTAAAATTTCTCTAATATAATCATAAAGAAATTTCATCAAGAGACTTTAGCTAATAAAAAAAAACCTCTTAAACATCTCTTGCTACACAAAGTTAGAGAGAGATATTTCACTAGTTTTTTCAAGAATTTTAATGTTCTTTGCCACATAATGTTTCTTGCCAAACCCAATTAAAAAATTAATTAAATGAATTAAAGTTTGGTTTGTGGAATCAATTACCAAAATTACTTTCACTTTCTTTTTCTATAAAATTACTTATTCATTTTATTTCTTCCTTTCTTTTCTATTTATTTTAATTATTTACTTATTTTTTACTATTAAACTCCAAGAGCATATTTAGTAGTGTAGTATTTTTTTGGTACTATTTTAACTCAATAAAAATACATTTTATACATATTTACTATGAGTAATGTTATGTAAATAAAAAAATTATATATAATGATGTGATTCATTGTGGACATTTTATTTTAAAACAAAACACAAATAAAAATAGATTTATTTACAATAATAATATTGTCATATAATTCTTGTCAAATTTTTTATGTGAAATTTATATTTATTTAGAATTTTCCATTTACTATTTACTAATTCAGTAATGTATGGTATTTTGTATCACAATGCTCTTTCGCAAAAGAAAACATAAATATAAGGTTGATTTGAAAATCGATTTTTAAAAAACAAAATTTAATTTGAATATTATAACAAGACATAAAAAAACAAATAAATATTTTATATTTACTTTTTAACCAAAATTCATTGTTGCCAAACCAATTCACCTCCTCCCATCATCACCATTTTGGGAATTGGGTGTGTTATATTATTTATTAATTTTTTTTTTTTTTGCAATGGATAGTAATAATGGCCACTTGGGGGGGTGGTGTGTGTGTGTAAATATACAAATGCCATGATTATTGTGCGCATTCATTCAACCCTCTTCCTCTAAAAAACTCCAAGCACAACACAGTCAATTCTGTCTTCTTCCTCTTCTCTCTTTCTGGCTCTGCCACGACAAAGAGACACAGAGTGTGAGAGAGCAAAAACCAAGAACATTCAAAGATTAAAAAGAACTTAGAAGATCCAAAAACAATATCCTTCAAAGCCTTATTCCTTTTGGGTTTCAAAGATTTCTTGTGTCTGTCCCCATTAAAAAGAAAATGAAGCTTCTTCATGTGCTTGCGCTTCTTCTTCATGGACCCATTTGGGGTTTTCAATTGCCTAAGGTTGTTGCCAGACCAGACCCTCCTGTTTCTTCACCAATAGTCTCACCCATTTCTCCAAACTTAGCATCAATGGCTATCTTCTCTCCAGGTACTCTTCCAATTCAAGTCCTGTTTATGATTCCATTGATAAGTTGTTTCCTAGATAGGTCAAGGGTTTGCATCAATTCAAAATTTCAAATTTCAAACACTCAGAACCACCTCATTCCCAACATTTATTGCACCAGACAAAACATATTTTCTTTGATGATTATGTTCATTTATTATTAGGTAATAAATTAAGTCATCATTTTCTTTCTACTTTTCATTCTCACATCACTATTTTCAATCACATCTTCTGGTTTAATTGTTGGGATTTTTTCCATTTTGCCCCAAACTGAGCAATTCAACAAAATTTTCTTCTATAAATTATTTTCTAATCAGGGACCCAAGTGGGAAGTGAAGACCACCACCAAATGGATCCAAATAAAAAACTGCTTATAGCAGTCATTGTTGCCTCCACTGCACTGGGTTCAATCATATTGTCTTTGTTATGTTTGTGGATTTGTCATAGAAAGAACTCACTCAAATCCAACAAGAAAAATGAATACAGCTCAGGTAACTTCATTTTCAACAATACCCATTTCAATTTTCTTTCATCAAATTTGTGGGTTTCATGGAATTTACATCAATTATGTTCATCCTCTGAGATTCTAAGTTTTGTTTGGCTTTGGTTTTGTATGGTTTGGTTTTTGAAGATTCCCTAAAAGGTCTTTCATTAGCTCCCTTCATGGGTAAATACAATTCCTTGAGGATGAGTTGTAGAAAAGGAGCTGTATCTTTAATGGATTACAAGTCACTAGAAACGGCAACGGTAAATTTCCAAGAAAGTAATATTCTGGGTGTTGGCGGTTTTGGTTGTGTTTACAAGGCCCGGTTGGATGACAATATTTTTGTCGCTGTAAAGAGACTAAATTGTGGAAGTCAGGATGCCATAACAGAATTCGAGGTACCATCTGTTTTTTGAAATTTGTGTATGTATTCATTCTCGAGGATTAGGTGTTGTAACCTTATTTTTTGTTCTTGAATTGTCATTTGGAATTTCAGACTGAAGTGGATTTGTTGAGTAAAATTCAGCATCCAAATATAATTTCTCTGTTAGGTTACAGCATTGATGGCGACGCAAGGCTTCTTGTTTATGAATTGATGCCGAATGGATCCCTGGAAACTCAATTACACGGTAAAAAATGTTTCTATGATTCATTTGTTTACAGTTTCTAGGATCTGAAAATAAGAATGAAAACATTGACTCTTTTTTTATTTTTTATTTTTTTTATTGCATGGTCTTCAGGACCGTCTCGGGGATCTGCTCTAACTTGGCATCTCCGGATGAAAATCGCTCTTGACATAGCAAGGTGAGCTTGTCAAATCCCAGTAGGTTAATATTTTGAGTTTGTATTATTGGTGTGCCTCTTAATTTATTTGCAAGTGTTTGACCAGAGGATTAGAATATCTGCATGAACACTGCAACCCACCAGTGATCCATAGAGATCTGAAATCATCTAATATTCTTCTAGATTCCGACTTCAATGCCAAGGTGAAAAAACATATAAAATTGCATGAGTTTCTGATCCATCCGTTTAAATTATTGGCGTTGCCCTAAAATATTGCTCATGCACTTGATCTATATTCCATTAGAATTTACTAAACCACTCTCTCTCTTCGTGTGTGCACGTGTTTTGTTTCGATTCAGCTTTCTGATTTTGGTCTAGCGGTAACTGATGGGACCCAAAACAAGAACAACATCAAGCTTTCAGGCACCCTAGGCTATGTAGCCCCTGAGTATCTTTTAGACGGTATGCCAAGAAGTCTACTTTTTCTAATTTCTTGCAAATACTTGATTTCAGCAGAAGAAAATGCTCGATTGTTTTTCTTTTTTTACATTTCCTGCCCTTGCTACCAGCTATAAGTACTGTAGAGTGTCAATCATGCCATGGAATATTCCTGATTTTGATAATTGTATTAAATTGGTCGACCATTATATTAATTAGTTCTGAGACATAGCTGCACATGTAGTGTCTCCAATAATTGTGTGAATTATATTTAGAAAATCCATTATGCATATCGTTGGCCCTGATATGAGTGTAAACCTATAATGCTATTTCATTATTAAGGGTTGGGATGTTAATTTCATCTTCTTCATAAGGTGGCTTATTAACAAAGGGATTGATATTTACATGATAAGATCGGATGATTCAAAATAAAATCTCCAACTCTCTGATTAGTAACTATTTTTTGTTTTTGTGACGCTCACAAATACGAAAATAATATGCATGTGCAATTATGGATTTAGAATTTTCAACTGATCTACCAAAGCATTAGACAACACAAATCAGTGCAACGAGACATGCTAAATGCTTGCTAAAAGGGAGTTAGTGAACATGTAGGTCGATTCTTTTAAGACTTAACCATCTTGCCGGACAACTTGGGAAAAGGGTATGGAGGATAAATTTTCCATGTCAAACACATTTTTTTTCCAGGAAAATTGACAGTTCCTATTTGTTTTCCAGGAAAATTGACCGATAAAAGTGATGTCTATGCTTATGGAGTTGTACTTTTGGAGCTTCTGCTGGGAAGAAAGCCTGTAGAAAAATTGGCACAAGCTCAATGCCGGTCTATTGTCACATGGGTATGCCTTTGGTCTTAGCCCCTATCTAGTAAATTTTATTTAACATGAATCTTCTTAAAAAGGTTTTAAACAATGTTGTCATTATTTTATGATGTGCAGGCCATGCCTCAGCTCACTGACAGATCAAAACTTCCCAAAATTGTCGACAAGACGATCAGAAACACAATGGATCTAAAGCACCTATACCAAGTTTGTCAACTATATATATACACTTTGCTTCCAATAACTAGTTTTAATTCAGAGGGGGTTGCAATGTGGATCCGTACACATTACAAGTTGACCAAACTGAGCCAACTTTAGTTGTTTTCTAATTTTATCTTTTAATCACAAATATTAGTTGGGAATTGGGATCAACATTGAGAATTTACCCAAGCTAGTTATGCGTAGAAAATTGACCTGAGGTACGATATGATTAAGCCCTTTCCCTCATAAACAGTAGGTTGGGTTTGTGGTGTCCGTGGGTCTGGATTAGGTTCGGTCTGTCCTTGGGAGTAGGTCTTGTCCAAAATCCCAAAACCTCGGCCCAGCCCGGCCCTACAATATATGGGTTGGGCAAAAAGGGGTAGGACTTGTAGTCTGGCCCATTTACGTGGCCTGCTGGGTACTCAAAGCGGTTTGGCTCGAAACCTGGCCCATAAATTCCTTATTATTTTCCCAAATGAATCAGGTCCAATCAGGGCCAAATGGGTCAAGCCCGATCCTAAGCCCTTAAGCCTATATTTTTTAAGTCCATGGGTATGGCTTTTAGGAATCTAGAATGGACCAGCCCTGGTCTGTTGACCAATTTGGCCTTAAATTTTAGGGTTGGCCCATTGCCGAGGCCTAGTTGGGAGTGTTCAAGCTGATGTGCACCCGTAGACTTTCTTGTTTGGTTATTACAATGTGGTCTCTCTGTAGGTTGCTGCTGTGGCTGTGCTGTGTGTACAACCGGAGCCAAGTTACCGTCCATTGATAACAGATGTTTTGCATTCTCTCATCCCTCTAGTCCCTGTTGAGCTCGGAGGGACGCTACGAGTAACACAACCTGGAGCCCCTGTGGGCACGGTATTGCCTTCCACTCCCTGATAATGCATCAAGTTTTGAAAGTGATTTTGCAGTGCTAGTGCTGCTTCTGCTGCACATATTTCTGGGATTTGCACAAAGCGAAACACAATTCAGTTCACGAGCAATGTTCATCACTCTGCTTTGATGCGCCGTTTTGTGAATTCCTTTGTTCATTCTGGTGAAGGGAAGCTGATCTTGCTGAGCAGAAGATTACTGGATTTACTCAAAAGATTTGTAAATTGAAGCAATTGAGATGTGATTTCTTGGCAGTGTTGTGCATATGTGGCCTATTATTGTACCACTCATATCTTGGCTTTTTCTTTGGAGCCAAACATTAATGCTCTGTTTGGTTTGTATGTTTTTTGCGGGAAACAATGAAGAAAATTCAAGGAAAAAAGTAGTCATTTTTCCTTATTTGGTTACCATAGAAAATAATTGAGGAAAATAAAATATGATCAAAGTGTGTGAGTTTTTAATTCTAGATATCATGTCTTCTCTTTTTCACAATTTTGTGTCGTTTGAAAGAAAACAATTGTCTTTCTCACTTTCCCTTACCAATTCCAAGTTCTATACAAAACCTACGTTTGTGTTTGAATTTTGTTTTTTGTTTGAAAAAAAAAGAAAAAGAAAAGGAAGAAAGAGAAGAGAAATGTAAAAATCTAAATTTTTTGAACAAATTATACTAATATCTTTTAACAATTATCAATACAAAAATGCTTCAGGCCTCGAGAGTTTTAGGCGCGAATGGTGTGAATTTGTGTTCACTGGTCGATCGGCTGAACAACTGGCCGGACGACCACTCGGACGATTGGGTGAAGCACTTGTCTACTGGGGTTATCACCTTGTCGACTTCGGCTGTCAGCCTTTTCGTCGGACGATCGGCCAGACAACTAGCAAAGTGAAATTCGAGTCATTCGAGGCAAGTTCAAATTTGAGGTATGTAGCATTGCTCTTGTCAATATTACAGTTGTCTCAATTGATATGAAAGAGTATTACAAATACCCATATTGTGACGGTCATAGTTATGATAGTATTAGTGACCGTAGTTAAGATGAGATAGTGAAAATGGTGGAGATAAAAAGAAAGACATATTAGGTGTCAATTTTATGTCAAATAGGCTACATGTATAAAATCTTAAAACCATATTAACACTTTCTATTTGATTTGATGGAAAAAGAACTCATTGGATAGGGAAAGGAAAAAAAAAAAAAATGAAACTGTTGACACATAAATTTCAACTAACTTTATGACGCGTATAGAGCCTATGATAGGAATGTTATAGGCAATTACTTCCTAAAAAAAGATCAATATGCTCCGTTGAAGTGCATAAATAAAACGACGTTGTATCTCAACGACGTTATTCAAGATACTCAAATGACACGTGAAGTTTACGAAAGATGACACTTGTAGAGCCTATAGCAAGGACACCACACAGGATGAAACCTCAAAGATCAATCTGGTTAATCAGATATACGATTAATCATATAGCGCTATCATTCAAAATTCAAATGGCGCTATCATTCAATTTGAAATTTAAAATGAGGATGAGGCATTCTTATCACTTGGATGGCCTTTTATAAATATGAGGACCATCACACAAGATCAGTGATCAGAAAATCAGAAGTGAGAAGATTAGAGAGAGAGAGAAAGAAATCAAGAGCTAAAGAAGTCGATACAAGTAAGAAGAAGAGAAGCCCAGAGAACTCAAGAGCCTACACTTCAAATGCAGAATCACGATGAATATGTAAAGGGTTTCAAACTCAAGAATTGTACTTTGTATTCGAGGGTTCAAAACCCATAACAATTTCAATAAAATATTTATTTTTCTTAAATTGTCTTATGTTATTTATTTTGTTCTTTATTAATCGGAGGTTTCATTTATATAAATGTGTATTTAACGATCTAGAATACAGACCAGAAATAGGAACCTGCTATTCAAATAATCAACACTGTTTAGTCCAAAAACTAAACAGTGGACACTTGTAATATAAAATTTTGAAATGTGTTGAAACATTTCATATTTCAAAATTTGTGTCTACAAATTTTGGCACACCCAGTGGGACATATTTCTTCTCCCATCTTTTGAAGAACAAAAAAATATATATATTTGAAACTTACTAACGTATTCTTTTTGTTATAGAAATGCTAAAACAACTGTCAAGAGACAAACCTACACTCCAGTGGTTTTGAAATCACCAAGGGTGGAGATAGCACTCATCACCCAAGGGGCTCGAGAGAAAATGCTCTTGGCTATCCCAAAGGTAGAACCAGTGAAATCCTGGAAAGATGCACTTCTTTCCCCTATCGTCCAAGGGGCTCCAAAGCGATAGCTCTTGGCTGCCTCGAATGTAACTGGTGTGATGAAGAAGGTCACACTTCTTCAGAAAGCCAAAAGTTTGAGAAAGATTGCTGAAGATTATGCGAAAGCGTTGAAACAGTACGCAACCGTTTGGGCTGTGCCGTAAGGGCCAGAGCCCGAACGAAAAGCTTTCTAATTTATACAAAGAAGGCTACTAAGTTTGCAACTACGGCCTTTGTTGTAGCTTCAACGGGGCAACAAAAAATTTTGTGGCCCAACTACTCAAAAGGGTAGAAGACTCCATTAAAATGGCAGAGTTTGCCCAGAAGAGGGCCTCTACTGAAAACATGGCCATTATTAGGGCCATTAGGAGGAGGGTAATGACCCAAACTCCTGTTAATGGAAAAAAAGCCCTTGTTGTTGAAAAAACAGCTGTGGCCTACGAACCGCTAGTTTTGTTCAGAGCACAAAATCGGTCAAACCAAATCTCAGTCACCTCTCAGGAGCCAAAGGAACACCCGTTGGCTCGACGGGATTTAAATCAACATCAATTGGTTCACCCTAAAAATGTAGGGACTGTTTTGAAAATTCATGAGGAATTTGCAAAAACGCAAACGGTTCCTTTTATGCCCCTAGGGGCTCAACTTGATATGTCATCAAATGGTCTCGTTTCTAAAAGACAAAGGCGAAGAAGAAATGAGGCCTTAAAGAAACTAGAACTAACAACAGTGGCAACAAATGTTATAGGAGCTATTGAAAGGGCTCTCTCGAAAGATGAGCTCTCTTGAAAGATGAACGCCAAAAACAAATTGAAAGTTCTGTTTTTGTTGGAAAGTCAGAGGTAGAGGAGGGTAAGCAACCCTTGGAAAATATTTCTACTTTGATCGAACTATCTATGGAGGGAATAAAAAAAGGGCCTGTAACAAGGTCTATAACCTGTGAGGCTCAAAACAAAGCATTGCAATCAGATGCTTCAAATATGAGTAGTGTTATGGGGGTTGATAATCCTTTATACGAACAAAATGATTTCATCTCGTTTGTTTCAACGAATATTGGAAACAATGAATTGAGAGATGTCAACAAAGTCGCAGTTATGATGACTGAGGTTGAGAAAGAAGGTGAAAATTCACAGGTCCAACAAGACCAAGGTCTTAAGAAAAAAGTGGTGGCCCTACAAGAACAACTTGAGAGAAAAGAACGGGAAATGGCTACTATGTTGGAGTAAATGCAACAGTTGCAGGCCCAAATGACAGGAACAGGAAGTGCACCCAAACAAATGGCACAACATGTTGTAGGGACATCTATAGGCATACAAAGCACACTAGCTCCAGAGGGCAATGGTTCTTGTTACTCTGATCTAACCAGTGGTGGTATGAATCCAATGCTCATGGCCATGATTGATGCTATGGTGAGGAGACAAGTAAAGAAAGTCAAGGAAAAAGATGATGAGAACTTTTGAATAATTACAAAACCTTACCCAGCATGGGTAGATGCTGTTCCATTCCCTTTTAGTTTTTCCCAACCAGATTTCAAAATGTTTGATGGAATAGGAGATCCAAGACAACATGTGGCTTATTTTCTTTCAAGATGTGGGCCAATAGCCCAAAATGAGGCCCTGTGCCTGTAGCTATTTGTCCAATCACTTGAAAGTTCTGCATTTACTTGGTATGTTAACCATCATAAGGGATTAATTCCAAATTGGGATTCCATGGTGAAAGAGTTCCTTAAATAATTATGCAACACACAAAGGCGAGTTGGAGTACCAGAATTGATTGAGACCAAGCAACGTGACAATGAGTCTGTTATAGATTTCATTGCAACATGGCGAGCTTTGACATTTACCTATCCTCAAAAGTTTACGCAATTAGAGTTAATTCGGATGTGCCTTAACAACTTCTGACATGAGCTCTCTACGGCTCTTATGGCTCAAACTTTTGAAAGATTCAATGATCTATGCACTAAAGCTCATGATATGGAGCTGCATCTAGCTAAATGAAGGAGGCCTAAGGCCGTTGAAAGGGTTGAGTCCTCGACTGCAACTATAATTGAAACCAGAAATAAGGGTCTCGTTGTAGTAGGGGCTAAAAAGCCCAAGGAATTTAAAAAGGTGACTTTGAAAGAGAGGTTAAAAAAGAAATATTCTTTCACAGATGATTTGGTCGAGAACTTATTTGAAGATCTGTTGGAGCAAAAGTTGATTGCTCTCCTTGAGGTGAATAGACCACATGAGGTAGGAGAAATGAATGATCCAAAGTATTGCCCCTACCATCATTTGATTAGCCATCCGATAAAAGAATGCTTTGTTCTGAAAAATAAAATTCAGGAACTTTTGGACTCCAAGATTATCGAGCTCCCTCCTCAAGAGAAAGCATCTGCTAACCCAATCACTATCGACAATGATAATGAAGGTGAATAGGTTGTTTATCAGTTAAAAAGCATGAAGAAAAAACAAAATGCCATAGTGAAAGCTAAAAGTGTGGTTATTTCAACAACATAAGGGCCAAAAGTTTCCAAAAAGCAAAAATCAAAAGTTTCCAGGAAACAGAAAAAAGTCAAAGTAAGTAAGAGAAAAGGAAAGAAGAACCCAAAGAAGAAAAAAAGGGGAGAAATTGGTCCCTCATGAGCAGTTAGAGCAATGTCCCCTTGTCCCAGTCACATTGGAGGAATTTCTGCCTTCAAAATTTCAATCTGTAGAGTTACAGACATACTTTGATAAAAGGAGGGAAGAAAAGTTTACTTTGGCCTCTTGTCTAACCATCATTGTTTTGAGTGATGACGAGGAAGATGAAGGTGAAGTTGGTTCAAAAGTTAGGGAAGTAGATTGCATTACATCTCCTATCTGTATACTTGACTCTCCAGAATATACACCAGTTTCTCTAGAGTAAACACCAGAAGCCTTTTCTCTAGAATATTCGCCAGTACCACCAATGTACTATCAAAGCACTCTAGAATATGTTAGGGGAACAGAACAAGGAGACACTGGGTGTAGATCTGACTCTGAGCTTGTGAAAAAGATGAAAAAATGACTACACTTCAAGGATGATGAGGTGAATGGTAGGTGTAAGTCAGATGATGAAGTATAGAAGCATTCAAATAAACAAGCAAAGTCATCTCAAATTGAGGATCCTAATAAATATTGGGAACTTGACTTTTCTCCTGATAGTTCACCATACACATCTCCA